GGTGGTGTGTGTGTGGTGGGGGGGGGGGGTCCCGTTGAGGCATGGATTGCACAAATAGGTGATATTCAGTACACTGCCGGCAATCGCATCGTCAAACTGGGCGCAGCAACCGAGGGGTCCCGCATGCATCCTGCAGCTCGCTCTGGAGAGGCATCTCATCCAGCCCCTGTCCTTCTTTCCTCCTCCGGAACCACCCCAACCCTGACCCCACGGACACGCCCCTGCAGATCGCCGACTTCAACCTGAGCAGGGCCATGGAGAGGGAGGTGATGATGAGCACCATCTGCATAACCAACCCCAGGTAGGGTCGCTGGGGCGTCGCACTCCCTGCCGGCGCTGGACTCCGTGAAATCCTTGACACATGGTCGGCTTGAGTTTATCAACTCACTGCCCCTCACCACCGAGCAAGCTGTCTGCAGGCCAGCTCACGCACCAAGTCCACCACACTCTCATGCAGGTGGCTGTCCCCCGAGATCCTGAAGGGTGGCCAGGCCACGTTGCAGTCCGACGTGTGGGCCTTTGGGACGGTGATGTGGGAGCTGATGACGTGGCAGCTCCCCTTTGAGAACATGAACCCGTACCAGGTGGGGCATTTGGGTGGGATTCTGTAGGGAGGGAGGGCATGGGGCTGGGGCAAATGGCCTCCATGTGCCAGGGATGCCGCCTCCTGTCTGAGCAGCGCACTCGAATCGTCACGGCCTGCCTCGACCAGGTGCATCGGCGCGCCGACCCATGCGGTACCCCTCTCGCACCCTCATCCCCTCCCTCCCCCTCATCCCCTCCGCATCTCCCCTTCTCAACCCCCCCCCCCACCTTCCCTTCCCTCGCAGATCATCAACCTGGTGCAGAGCAGCGGCGCGAGCCTCGCCGTTCCCGAGCCCAGTGCCATGCCCGCCGGCAGCTTCCGGGGGTACGAGCCGTACGTGGCGCTGATGACGCGGTGCTGGGAGATCGAGCCTGCCGCGCGGCCCGAGATGGCCGAGGTCGCGGCCCGCCTGCGCGACATCCTGCGCGCCGAGCTGCTGGCGGCACGCTCCCGGCGCTTGCGCTCCGGGCAGCTGCCGGGCGGAGGCGTGCCGGAGCCGCAGCAGCGCTACGCACGCGTGCGCAGCGCTGCGCCCAGCCCTTTCTCCCAGGGGCCCTCCTCCGCCGAGGGGTCGCTGGTGAGCGAGGGCGGGCTGTCGCCGGGCATCGGCTTCACGTCGGGCACCGCGTCGGGGACGCCGCCGGGCACCGCCTCGACCACGCTCAGCGGCAGCCTCGAGGTGGGGCGGGGGCCGGCGGGCGCGCCGGCCCCCGCCGCGCCCGCTGCCGTCGACGACGCCGAGCTGGCGGAGAGGCTGGGCAGCAACGAGCCCGCGTTTCTCTGAACCATCGACCCCGGCTCCCCCGGCGGGTGTCCCCGGCCCACGTGATCGCGACAGCGCGCAGAGTTGTTCCCTCCGCACCTGTCTGTACCCCTTCCTGTGTAAGAACACCTTCTTCGAGTGTCCCAGGGTCAGGGTCAATTCCCATCTGTGGGACGCCCATCAGGAGCAGGGCCCGGCGAGGTGTGGGACCATGGCCGCACTGATGATTCGCCGGGCTTGCTGGGGCTCAAGCAGGCCCTGCAAGGATGCCGCCCTCGGGTGGAGGTGGTAGCCACAAGGACCATGTGGGGGTGATGCAGGGGGCAGGAGGGAACGAGATCCAAGGGTGGGCCCGCACCAACCGCCCGTCGGATGCGCTGCATCAGTCGGGTGCACCTGGGATAACATCAACATGTGCACGGCTCCGTTGCTGTCGCGGTTCATGACAGGGACCATGAGGTCCCTGCTGCTACTCTGCTCCATCCCCCAAGCGTCCGCCAGCCTCTCCACGCAATGCCACACCTGACTGTACTGGTGGGTGTGCCGAGTGGTGCGAGGGGCGCGGCACAGCTTGGGAGTCCTGCGCTCGTTCACGACCACAACACTGCACACCCCTCTGCAGGTGGCGCAGGAAGCTCATTAATGGGCCTGGCGGATGCCCTCGCATGAACAACCCTCGGAGCCCTCCACTCATGCCCATGCCGTCCAGTTGCCGACGCCCACAATCGTCATCTTCTTGCGGGGGCCCCGGAAAGACCCTGCAAGCGTCATGATTGCTCGCTGTCGGCGGGCATGCGCCTGGAAGTGCAGCTGGCGGAATGGCTTCTCCATACCCCACTCCTGCCCAGGTGCAATGGCAGCCGACGTACCTGCCACTCCTCAGCTCCAAGCGGGCTTCGTGGACGATGCACCACAGCATACTCCAGCTGATCAACGCTTTTGGCAGCCATCTCCATCTGGTCTGTCATCTCGTCGAGGAGATGACGGAAGTGCTTCAAGTTTGGCAGCTGATGAGTTCTGGCCTCCTCCTCGCACGCTCGTTGGAAGACAGCTATAGACTCAGCCAGAAGCCAACTTTTAAGAGGGAAAGGGGATACTGCTGGCAATGTAGGGGACAGGACCCTTGACCTTAGGGTCTGAGCAAACCTTACTCTGTCAATGTCCCACGTGACCCACATATTGTCCAGGAAGAGATCCATACAATGACACACCATGGCAGCTTGTGCAAGATCCACGAGGGCAGGATGACCTAGCTCTGGCAGCAGGTCAAGGGATGGGGGATGTAAGCTTTGCATGAAGGGGGGGCAATCGGTATCACAAATTGAAAATATGCACTATCAATGCCACAAGAACCCCTGCTGGACTTACACCAGCTGCATGGGGGCTTCTGCAGATACCAGCCCATGCGCAATTAGTTTTGGTCAGCCCTGATGGCTGACTAATGGGAGGAAGGAAGGGGGCAAGAGGGGGAGGGGAAGACGAGGATGGGTGCCCACCAAAAATTGCGGGGCAAGGCGCGCCAGTCAGATAGAGCTTGAGCAGCATCAGGACGTCGATCGCACCATTGACATCCCGGTTGACGACCCTGACGTTGCACGCCCGGTTGTCGCAGCGTTTGGTGCCCCAGGCCTCCTCCGTCTCCTCCACGCCCTTCTGCACCTGCCTGTAGCGGTGGGCACTCAAGGCGGTGTGGCAGCCGCAGCACATCTTGACGTCATGTGCTCGTCAACCACCACCACCTCGCAAACCCTCCGCAGGCGGCGAGGGAAGCGCATCCAGGGGCGCCGGCAAGTGTCCCCGCATCACCCCTCCACGGTCCTGGGCGGACCAGTTGCCCACTCTGACGACGTCGACCGTACCGGGAGGGACCCTGAAGTGCTCGGCGAGCTGTTGGATGGCCCGCTCGCGCTGGACGTGCCCCTGGAAGCGCAGCTGCCGAAACGGCTTCTGCAGCATTCAGGCCAGGCCCTGCCGCAGCTTGGGGACGACCCACTTGACCCGGTCCAGCAGCACCTCTGTCCTTGCCGTTTGATGGGTAGGGGACCTGTGAAGGAGGTGCAAATGGGGGGGGGGGATCACAAGAGTATGTGGGTTGATGTTGCTGAGACAGGTCAGAGGATGCTTTGAATGAGGTACCTGCCCGTCCACCCACCCCAAACGTGCACTCACTTGTAGAGGTATTGCATGAAGTCGGTTGCCTAGGCGTGCCAGCGCGCCGCAGGCTTCTCGCGCTGGCGATGGTTTGCTCGCGCGTAGAATTCTTTGGACGTGCATGCCAGGGTGTTGGCGTGCTCGTCAACCGCGATTACCATCTGGATGCGCTCTGGGTCTATCCCAATGGTCTTGTGGATCTTGTTTTCGGCCGGGAGGTCACGCCTGTGGTGGGATGGCAAGAGGGTGGATGAGCTGTGCTGCAGCGATGGAGTGGACGTGGCAGGGTACAAAGCTCGGGCAGGTTGCAGCCCGGCAGCGTTCCTTCCCTGACAATGAGATGTGGAAGCATGAGAGGCCACACTGGTGTCCATCACTGCAGATGCTATGGGGAGCCGGAGCTGACCACCGTGGCCAGTGCTGCTGCTCCTGCTTGGAGCTTGCTACGTGGGGCCCAACTGCGCATTGAGGTTGTGCGCTATGTTGCTGTGCGTGCGGCGAGGCGGGCATATGCCAAGCTTCCCCATGTCATCGCTCTGCTGCATGCTGGACCAATACTGGGTGCGTACTTGTTGTCCTGGCTAGATGGAATCAAATAGATCCCTCCTCGGCCTGCGGCCTCCTCTCAAAACGAAGACAGGCTAGTTCAGCTTGCAATTGGCTGACTACCAAGATGCATCTCTTCATCATGTTGCAGACAATGTGCGACTTGCCTAGATGTCTGCATATCGGATTCCACGCTTTCCTTGAGGAGTTGATGACGAGACGGAGTCTCCCTTCCGAGGGTGACGATGGAGGGGTCGAGTCTCCGACAAAGAGAGACCCACCTTGAGTGTGGCAGAGGCTTAAGCCGTCGATATGAGCAGGGGCAGAGCAAAAGGAGATCCCTTGCAACACAGGAGTTTCGGAAGATGCGTGGTCCGTCAAGATCTGGACCTTCCAGTTCCTTCCGCACTTTTTGTTGATGACGAAGCTGAATGAGGGGGGAAGGAGGGCCTCCGGTCCGGTGTAACTTGAGCAGGGGGGCTGCTCCCGAATCTGGATGAGGTAGCGCTGGTTCAAGTCCCACTCTGTGTAAAGTTTTGTCCAGACTGTCTTTTACAAGCCCTGGCTCTTGCTCATATCCAAGGCCAGATTGCCAGAATCTGCTCACCGGGAAAAACAACAGGTATGACCTAGAAAGTACGGCCGGGGGCAGCTACGCATGAGGAGCCCCGTCACATCCGGCGCCGTGCCTCGACATCTCCAAATTAGATATAGTACGGCGAAGTCCATGCAAAATCGTACGCAGCAAACTCTAAACATCCAGCACACGGGGGCTCACCCTCCCCAATGAACATTGCTGCAATAATCTCGCATACAAGACAACCTCTCTGGGCCTAGGGTTTGTGCGGCACGATGGCGACGCACGTGCAGGCACCTGTTTGGAGCGCGATACTCCTTCTGCTGAGCCTTGGCGTGCTCTCAAGGGTAGGTCGAATGAACGCTCTCTCCTATTGTTCAATCTCATCAGGAGGGGAGGGTGCGCGCTACTTGCCATGTGCGCCGATGGTCTACCGCACACCTTTCCCCCTCTCAGGGCGCCTGCACGACGAAGTTCTTCTCCCTCCCGGCTGTCACGTGAGTCAAGGCCGGCTGCACCTGGCTTGCTTTTGTGGACTCTTGCTCCCGGATAGGGCGAAGCCTGACTGACGATGCATTGATGTTGCCGCGCGAAGCTGGATAGTCCAGCGTCCGGACACGGCGCAGCTGCGTTCTCAACCTTGCCACACTCTCCGTCCTCCTCTGATAGCTACGGGCCCCATGTCTATATGCTGGAGGTCAGCAGCGCAGACGACATCTGCAGGTGCGGGCTGAGTCGCATCCTATCGTGATTTTGCGATGCAAGTGCAAGCCACTCACATGCCAGAAGTTGCGGACCTTGTGCAATGTCACCTCCCAACCCCAAGCAACACAGGTGGATGGGCTACAGCAAGTCTGGTTCTATCAGAGATACCAATCTTTACATCCTCGGTCTTCCCGTCAACGCCATCAACATGAGTTCCCGTGAGATCAGCAAGGATTGGTCCACCAGAATCTTGGTGGCCGTTGAGTGCCTCAAGGCTGGACAGGAGGCTTGCACCGCGGACAAGGATGGCAATATTGGAACAGGAAACAAGGGGAAGTACAATTTTGGCGACAACAACGAGGGCGACTGGAACATCGGTGAGCAAGACTGGGGGAGGTGGTAGGGTGACAGTGGTGTCCAGATGCTGCCTGAGATGGAGACAGCAGTTTGCCGCATAGAACCATGGCCTGACTCCGAAGATCTTTCTGGACTTTTAATCCACAGGGAGCTCTAACAAGGGAAACCTGAACTGGGGTAACAACAATAGGGGCACCAAGCTGCGTTGCAACAATGCGGTTGGTACCAGGAAATTCCGTAACCTGTGCAGCCTGAAGGAACTCTGCAAGTCTATGCTCAGGGACTACAACCAGGTGCCACCTTCACCCCCCAAGAAAGCGTCCCCTCCTTCCCCCTCTACTCCGCCCTCTCCTCCTTCCCCGTCGCCTCCTCCGCCCTCTCCTCCTCCGCCCTCTCCTCCTCCGCCCTCTCCTCCTCCGCCCTCTCCTTCTCCGCCCTCCCCTCCGCCTTCTCCTCCGCCCTCCCCTCCACCTTCTCCTCCGCCCTCCCCTCCTCCGCCCTCACCCCCGCCCTCTCCGCCACCTCCACCGACTCTGCCTGCCCCAGTTCTACAGGCCGCTTACAATGATAATTATGACAGGGTCATTTTCACTGTGACGGCGGAATCCTACTTCCTAGACTCTATAGTCCTCTACTTCGGTGACAGCCCAACCTTCACCTGGAGCAGTCCGAACACCCGTACTTATACGGCAACCCCGGAGTATGACTACTTAAAGCAAACATACTGTTTCACTTGCATAGTGACCGACTCCAACGGTGTGCGCTCGTTGCCGTCAAATGAGGTTTGCCTGGATTAGGAAGCCTCCCCAGAGATGGATGGTCTGCTCAGGCAAAGACTGAAGCTGTAGGTCCTTCACCTTCCAACTCATTCATGGGGAATTGATCTGGTGACCATGATTGCCCCTTTTTGTGCATTGCACGGCTTCTTATGATGAGCCATGTTGCATGGTGTTGTGGGGCTTGGCTAGACCCCACAACGTGGACTGCTGTATATGACATAAAGTAGGAATGTTACAGGACAAGACCCCGAAAACAGCGAGGGGCTTGGGTTTCAAGCACTGTGCCAGGCGTCGTAGACACATTGCAGGGCACGAATGCAGGTGGAAAGGGTGGAAGGCTACGAAGAGGGTGCCCCCACAGCAACCATGCTGGGCTCCTGTCTCAGAACCCTGACGATGAACCATGCCTTGCAGCCCTGCTTCAGCCCATCTCCTTGATCAGGGTGGCAGGTTCCCTCACGCTTACAGTCCACGCCCTTGGCTGAGGTGTGCTGTGGATGTAGACATATTGCTACTGCGTCTGCTCTATGAATTTCTGCAAGCTTGGGTGCCCGGCGGTAGTCGGCACTAGGGTGAAAGGAGGATCCTCTGACACCCTGCCTCCTAACCCAGCCCTGGCCTCACCTGAGTTCACCCAAGCTTGTTGCCAGTGAAGGCGGTGGCGTGGGCCCGTGCCTCGACTAGAATATCATCAGGGACTCGTGATGTGGGGATGATTGCGATGTGCACAGTTCTGTGTGGCGAGACCATTCTCACCGTAGGCAGCAATGTTCTCGATAGGGGACCAGGCGTGGCAGGGTGACTGGCCCAACAGGCTCGGTCTCTGCCCCAACCATCGGGATCTCGATCTCTTGGGAGGCTCAGGCTGGCATCACAGGGGTATCGCCCGGCAAGCGTCCTTGCCTCAGACCTTTGGCAGTCATGCACAGCATAGGGGAGGTGCCAAGAGTTTTGATGTCTGCACGTTCAGATGCAATGTCAGTCATGAATGAGGGGTGCGGATGGATGACTGTCAGTTCACTACTCTGGGCAAGACATCGCCTACCCTTTGGCAGGTGAAGGGTTATGATCCCTGCCAGTGTGCACAAACTTCACAGCAACTTGGAGTAGAGGCAGGACAGTCATAAGGTTCACGGCTCAGCGGCATCGATCCCCCCTCTGCGATGGTAGGCAAACCTGATCAAGGTCATTTGATGTCCGAGTGATGCCGATCAGAGGTGATTGACTCGGGATCAGTGCTTCACCCACCTGCAGGGATTCGAGGGCGGCACCCTTGGAGGCGCGGGGCGATGGCCTGTTGGTGGGATCACGCAACAATGTTTCTATATCTTCGGCATTCAATTCCGGTGTTTTGGTAGGTGATGGATGGGATTGCTTTCTGGGCACGATGTCTACCTCGCAGTCGAGATCGATCTGAGCCAGGGCGCGACCTGGCATCAACACCTGTGGAGCCTAAAGACCCAAGGACCGGACAGCGTCACCGCCTTCCACCTCGTGAACGGTCATGGCACACCGTCATCGGCGGTGAGCATCCCAAGTAATCCGGTCTGCCACCAGAGGGCGATCCAGAGGTCGACCAGGAGCAACGAGGCTGGCGACCAGGATCAACCTGATTGCGGAGAAGGCAGTGCGTGCGGAGCATGGAAGCTTCTACGAGTACCGTATGGAAGCTGATCCGCCTGTGACGCCCGCTTGGGCGGCTGATACCATCCCCTACGAGCGGCACGTCAAGGACAGAGCACGCCGCACCCGCTCCAGTCCTGGGAGAGGAACTGGCAAGATGCGGCACACTGCTTCTTCAAGGAGCTGAAGGCCTGGGGAACCTTGTTTCCTACCATGGACACCACTTCTTGTCTACAAATATACCAGCATGCAGGCGAGCAGTGCGTGTGCGGGGCAGCAGTGCTATCGGACGGGCAAAGGATATGGGGGAGCCGCCCTCCCCTTTCACTTCCCCCCATGGCCGCCCAAGGCCCCGACAGGCGGGGCTACGGGCCACGACCAATATGTGCAGACTGCCCTTGCATTCGATGTTTTAACGTTTCTGTAATAAATTCACACAACAATTTGCCTCGTACGGCGCGTTCGCACCCCAACGGGACATGGCAAAGCCCCGCACGATTCGAAAATCGATCGACCTAACGAGGGGGCTTCGCAACCCAAATAAGCATTGAAGGTTCTAGAAAAGGATCGTTTAAGAATGGGCCGAGTGGATTGGCGGTAGAAGTGGGCGTTGGGACTCGTCCCGGGGGTCCGACATTGTGGCAGGAGACGGTAAGTCGATAGACCGGCCCCCCGAACAATATTCTCGACATGCAGAGAGCCCCTCTGTCGCACACTTCTCCCGGATCTAGTAAGCGATTCTGTGATTGAAGTGTTCCGAGAAGTCTTCCGGTGCCATTCCCTTCTAAACTAGCAACTCTGCTCTGGCCATGCACGCCTGCTACTCCGGCAGGGCAGTCGCCGGGCCGTCCCTGCACACATTTCAACGAACCACGCACCCTACCACACGATCAAGAGGCCTGAAGCTTAGGCTGTATGCCCAGAGCGCCGTGCTGCTGGATGTACGGGACTTGGAGGCCCGCATCACCAACTCCCAGCAGGGCGTGCTGAAGGGCGTGAGCCTGACGGTCCGGGAGGGGGAGGTCCATGCGATCATGGGTAAGAACGGTTCTGGCAAGAGCACATTCAGCAAGGTGGGTCATGGGGGAGGGAAAGCATGCCCGGGATGGACTGACCCAGGATGGCAATCAAACATCCCTCCCATGCTGCGTGTTGCTGCTGGTTGGAGGTCCACGATGACCAGCATTGCCGTTCCCCGAGCAGGTGCTGGTTGGTCATCCCGAGTACGAGGTGACGTCTGGGTCTGTGGACTACAAAGGGGAGTCGCTGCTGGGGCTGGAGCCCGACGAGCGCTCCCACATGGGCCTTTTCATGAGGTGGGCAGTGTGGAGCGAGATTGAGGTGTCCAAGTTGCGCTGCATGGTGCTCGATCATATCACAGCATGCCTCAGGAGGGTGTCGACCCCCAGCCAACCCGTATGCGTGCGTCCCAAAGACGGGGACCCCCCTGCCTGTCCGCCGCAGTTTCCAGAGCCCCGTGGAGATCCCAGGCGTTTCCAACATCGACTTCCTGCGCATCGCCACAAACGCTCGGAGGAGCGCCCAGGGCCAGAAGGACCTGGATCCCCTAGAGTTCTACGCTTTTGTCATGCCCAAGGTGTGGTTTAGTGTGTTGGGTCGCTTTTTTTCTAGGGGGGTGGAGATGTAGCCCTCTTTCCAGTGGAAACCGGGGTGTTGCACTTGTCCAATGGTCCTTCAACCCCCCGATTGTGTTGGGGCGCTGCTTCACAAGGCCATAGGGCTCCTTCACTCCCCCATATGCCATTCTGCACATCCCCTACACGGTTCCCCCCCACACATTCACAGCTGGAGCTGCTCAACATGGACGCCGCCTTCCTGAACCGCAATGTGAACGAGGGGTTCTCTGGGGGCGAGAAGAAGCGGAATGAAATCCTGCAGCTGGCCTGCCTGGAGGCGGACTGCTCCATCCTGGACGAGATCGATTCGGGGCTGGACATCGATGCCCTGCGGGATGTGGCCACTGCTGTCAATGGCTTCCGGAAGCAGAGGCCTGCGGCGGGTCTCATCATGGTGACACACTACAAGGTGGAGAGGGGCAGATGTGGGCAGTGTGAGAGGGAGGGAAAGCTGGTATGGGAAGCAGGAGGGGAGCTCAATCATGGCGTGAGGCTGGTGGAGCGATGTGTGAGTCGCCGGAGCCTAGGACATGGAGGAACTCACTGCTTGAGTTTCAACATAATGTCTCGAGGCCACCACAGCGTTGGGGAGAGGCCTATGGTATGGCTGCCCATTCACACTCACTCAAGGCAACCCTGGCGGGTCCGTCGTTGCCAACTCATACCATGAGCATGCCTGCCCACCCTTCATCCATGCAGAGGTTGCTGGACTACATCCGCCCGGATTTCGTGCACATCATGCAGGTGAGCGAGTGGTTGTGATCTGGGAGAGTGAAATGCGTTCTAATCACGGTTTGTCAACCAGGGATGGAGCATGGGATTGGAAGCTCAATCAGCCCTCGCCTGAGCGTGCTCTTGCCTCGCACACGCCGTGCAGGATGGCAAGATCGTGAAGACGGGGGGCATGGACTTGGTGGACCAGTTGGAGCTGGAAGGGTACAAGGTGCTCAGCGGGGCCGGGCGATGAATGCATCATGGTGTTGCCCAGGGTCCCAAATGGTGACGGCATCGAGTGACGCTTGTAAATGTGATCGACGGGAGAGACGTGAGCGTCAGCAGGGGCAGCCGAGGCTGATGATGATGCCGGCCTGCATGACGTGGCACCCTCGACACCATCACCTCCATGTTGAACCATCGCGTGCATTGTAGCGCTCTTGTGGGAGTCAACATCATATAAAACTACATTGTGGCATGGCTCCGAAGACGTCCCGCGGCCGTGCCACAAAGGCAGCGGCCCAGCCGTCCAGGGTGGCCACTCAGGGGAAGCGCAAAGCGGCTGTCGAGGATGAGCCGACCCCTCGTGTGACAAGACCACGGCTAGCAGCCAAGCATGAGCTTGGGACCGTGGCGCATGCCAGTCACGGCAAGGTGTGGGGTTGTAGACCGGGGCGGGGATCCCTGCCCCCTCCCGGGCACCAGTGCCACCGTATTCCAAGACGGGGGCCGCCCAACGCTGCCATATGCACCTCTCAGGTTCCAGGTCAGCTGTTTGTGTTTGGTGATGGCGACTGTGGACAGCTGGGCCTGGGAGAGGACGTCACCGAGCGGCTGAGGCCCTTCCCCCTGGATGTTGATGGCAACAAGGTGGGTTGGGGGGACAGTGTGTTGACTTGGGAATGCCTGTCAAGAGAAGGGGCCATGAGTGGGATTCATCCTCAATGTCCCTCCTGCACCTTTGCTCCCCCACGTCGTAAGCAGATCCTGCAAGTGGCGTGTGGAGGCATGCACACCGTGGCCCTGACCGAGGACCATGTGGTCTACAGCTGGGGAGTGAACGACGAGGGCGCCCTGGGTCGCGAGACAGGTGCCGCAGCGCCTTTGCGGGTGCAATGGGTGGGAGCAGCGGGCACGGGATGCTCAGCGGCGCTGCGCGTGAGTCTGGACGCCCCGCCTCCCGCCTGCCCCCCTGCACCCACGCCCCCCCCCCACACCCCCTGCGTAGCCGGGGAGCTGTGGGAGAAGTCAGGCCTGTCCAGCGGCGTAGCGGGCGACTCCTACTCGCCCGGCCCCGTAGACCTCCCAGCGTCGGCTGGGAAGGTGGTCCAGCTCTCTGCAGGCAAGTGATGCCCCGCACCCCGTGCCAGGGTCACAAGGGTCGCTCCCCCTGTGGTTTCTGTCGCTGCTCCCCCTCCACCCCCTCTCCCAGCCCCACCCCAACCTCTTCCCAGGGGACAGCCACACCGCGGCACTCACGGAGCTGGGCTCAGTGTGGGCCTGGGGCACCTTCCGCGACGCCTCGGGCGTGTTTGGGTTCAGCGCATGCACGCGCATCCAGCTGACCCCCGCGGAGGTGTACAGCCCGCGCCGGGCCGGGGACCAGGTCGTGCGCATCGTGTCGGGTGAGTGGCGGCGGGTGGAGGGGGGCCAGTGCTGCCCTGCTTACCGGCCGGACCCCCCTGCTCCACTCTGGGTGGTGTGTGTGTGAGGGGAGGGGGGAGGGGCACACACCATTGTTCCTGTGGACAGGGGTCCGAAGAGTCTACCCGGACACCAGTCTCGGGATGGAGCCCACCCATTCTACCACTGCAACCCTTGCTTGCAGGCGCCGACCACATCGCGGCCGTCACCCGTCACGGCGGCCTGCTGACCTGGGGCAACGGGCAGCAGGGGCAGCTGGCGCGGGTGGGCGAGCGCCTGTCGGACCGCGTGCGGGCGGCCACGCTGCTGACCCCGGCCCCCGTCCCGCTCAAGCGCCGGCGCTCGGGGCGCGCGGCGGTGGTCGACGTGGCGGCGGGGACCTACGCCACCTTTGCGCTGCTGGCCGACGGCGGCGTGCTGGCCGCCGGGCTGAACAACTACGGCCAGCTGGGGCTGGAGAACGGGGCGCTGCCGGCCTACGCGCTGACGCACGTCGCCGCGCTGGACGGACGCAGCGTGCGTGGTGTGCGCGGCGGGCAGCACCACACGCTGGTGCTGGTGGAGCCGGGGGCGGGGCGGGGGGGCAGCGCCGACGACGGGGAGGGTTCGGAGGGCGCCGGGCCCTCGGGCGCGCCGCTGCTCAGCTTCGGCCGGCCGACCTACGGCCGGCTGGGCCAGGCGGCGGCGGCGGTGGGCTCCGACGCCGCCGCGCCGGTGCCACGCGAGGTGGACGGCTTGGAGGGCGTGGCGCTGGCGGGGGCCGCGGCGGGGCTGGCGGTGTCGGGTGCCTTCAGCGAGGCGGGCGACGCCTGGCTGTGGGGGTTTGGCACCAGCAACCAGCTGGGCAAGGGCGACGACGACGAAGGTGAGCGTAGGGTGGAGGGGGGCTTGTAGATGTGGGGGGGGTGGAGAGAAGTCGAGGCCGTTTGTGGAAAGGTGTGCGAGGGGTTTGGGGCGCTTGCATGGGACTGAATTCTGAGTCGGAATCGTGCGTGTAAGCCCCGCAGAGTACCAATCTGGGTCTGTTGTGCGGCTGCGTACTCTGCACTGCACTCCACCGCCAATGCAGTGTTCCAGCAGTCGTCCCTCCCCCCCACACAAACCTCCTCCAGACGAGGTAGTTCCCCGGAAGCTGGCTGCCACCAAGAAGCTCGCAGACCAGAGGGTGATCGCGCTAGAGTTTGGGGGGCAGCATGCCGCGCTGCTGTGCGTCCCCCGCCCCGCACAGACGCAGGCGGGCAGCCATCAGTGACACGCTTCAGTGCGGGCAAGCACACATGCCTTCGAGGCTCACAGGGATGCACCATGGTTTTGGGGCTCTTCTTCAGACACCCTGGTGCCCTAAACATCTTTGACTCGCTGCAGCTGAAAGCTTGGTTTGTGAGGACATTGGATTTGCACAAGGGCACCGTTGATCAGCCCATCAGCCACATACTTTGCAGCCGCAAAGCAAGAGGCGCGCGCAAAGGCACGCGTGACCGAGGAATTGGCAATCCACGGAGGACACAAGGGCTCGACAATGGCAACATATATCAACAAACTGTACCATAGCATAACGCGGGAATTGTACCCTTACCCTGGCCAATCTCGACCGGAACTTGGGCGTAGAGTGATCAGTCTGGGACGAGCTGCCGTGTGTCGCGTTATCCACGCGTGCGCACGGCATGGACTTGGCATCCAGATACGATGTCATTGTGTTGGGGACGGGTCTGGTGGAGTCCCTGCTTGCAGCGTGAGTGGTTTCCAGGTGGCGGAATGCAGCTGAGGATTGTGTGGAATGGTGCTGCCCATCTCCAGGTGCTACATGGTCATTCGCCTCCCTCCGATCCACCAACCGAGCTGCCCCCACCCCCCCATGCATGCATCCTGGCAGTGCCGCAGCCACATCTGGCAAGACGGTATTGCAGCTGGATGCCCAGGACTTTTACGGCGGTCGCTGGGCCACCCTGTCCATAGACGACTTCCTGGCAGCCCTGCGCCCAGGACAGGCCGCGGGAGCCACTGGTTTGGAAGTCGCCGGCAGCACAGACCCCGCCTGCATCGGGGAGTCGCATGCCTTCCTCGTGGACCTGGCGCCGCGGCTGGTCTATGGCGGCGGGCCCATGGTGGATGCCCTGCTCGCCTCTGGGGCCCACCACTACACCGAGTTCAAGCTCCTGCAGGGCAGGTGGGAGGGTGGGTGTGGCACTGCTATTGCCGGCCACTTGTGCAGCATCAGACTTGATGAGGCATTGGACATTCAGTTGTACCTGTTGGCCTGAAACATTTCAGATCCTCTGGTCCCAAACCCGCAGCTACATGCTGGATTCTGGCGACGCGCAACGCCTCACGAGCGTGCCCTCGACCCGGGCCGAGGTGTTTGCCAGTCGCGACCTGTCCCTGGCAGACAAGCGGGTGCTCATGCGCTTCCTGCAGCGCTTCTCCGGGCTGCTGCCGCACAATGAGGGTGGGGAGGTGCGAGACCCCGTCCCCGCAGACACCCACGACCCCGTGCTGGCGACGCCCTTTGCTGACTTCATGACCAACACAGGCCTCTTGCGGGCGGACCTGCGCGCCACCATCGCACATGGCGCCCTGCTCCTCCCCGACCCCTCGTTGTTATCCACCGGGGTCGTGCTGGACCGGCTCGCCCTGCTCCAGCGCTCGGCGGGGCGGTACGGCGCGGGCTCCGGCGCCCTCCTCTGCCCCATGCACGGCGGGGGGGAGCTGGCGCAGGCCTTCTGCCGCTCGGCGGCGGTGGGCGGCGCGGTGCAGATGCTGCGCAGCCCCGTTGTGGCCCTGCGGCTGGAAAGCGCGGAGGGGAGCCAGATCGGAGGGGGTGCGGCGACTGTGAGCGACAGCGCTGGGCCCAAGGTCGGTGCCTCGAGGCCTGTCTGCACTGGGATATACCTGGGCACGGGGGACGACCGCCAGGAGGTGGCGGCAGGGGTCGTCATCGGAGGGGTGGCAGAGATTGCGTCGGCACTGCACCTCGGCGAGCAGATGGCCGATGCAGCACAGAGTCATCCTGATGGGGGAGCTGGGGGCGTCGTGCATGGAGCTGGGCAGCCCTGTGGTGAGGTATCTGATGGCACAGCAGGTGGAGCTGGGCAGCCCTGTGGCGATGCATCCAGCTGTCCATCCAGCGAGCCTGAGAGGCCACGGGCCCCGACCTTGCTGCGCTGTGTGGCGGTGCTGGATGCGCCGGCGCTGCTCCCTGGGCAGGACAGGGTCGGCGTGTGCTTGCCTCGCCCAGAGGGCCCGGTGGTCTGGATGCTGGCGCTGGGCCACACCCTCTGCGTCTGCCCGGAAAACAGGTGACTGGAGCATGCTTTGATGCTGACGCCTGTGGCTGGGCGGGGTGTGAGGCTTTCCCAAGGCAAGAAACGGACTGGACCACTGCATGGCGCCCAGGGTGGGACCCTGGGCCTGCAGCACGGAACACCCCTGACCCCCTGCGGACACCCTGCCTTGCGCCTCATTCTCTCCTCCAAACGCCCGCCCTCCTCAGGACGCTGGTGTACCTGTGGACAGAGGCAGCCGCAGAGCGCGGCGCGCGAAGCGTGCTGGAGCCGGCGCTCCAGGCTGTACTCAGGGCGGCGTCTGGCACGGCCCTGTTCGCGGCGCAAGGGGCCGCTGAGGGAGGTGGAGGAGGCGGCGTCAGCGCTGGCCCTGCATCTCTTCTGACGGCCGTGTACTACACAGAGGCGCCGTCTGACCTCCGGCCAGATGCGCTGCCCTCAAATGTGACGGCCTGCCCCGACCCCGGCAGCGACGTGGCGGTGGACTCCTGCATAGCATCCGCTCGGCAGCTGTTCCACAGGTAGGGCTGTGACCCTGATGTGCAAGAGGGCTGTACGGCGCACAAGCCTAGCGTCAAATGGCGATGCCCCATGCTCAGGGTGCATTGACAGCTCTAATGCAACATTAACCCTCGCAGGACGTTTGGTGAGGAGGGGCGCTTCCCGCTCGATCCTGATCCCCCTGCGCCGGACGCCGAGGATGTGGCCTCAGACGAGGAGGCCCTGGAGGCACTGCGAACCGCTCTCAGAACAGTGGATGGCACCGAGGAGGCAGCCAAGGAGAATCCGGATCTTGGGGAGAGCGGTTGGGCTCCACCCCTTGATACTTAGGTAGAGTGCAGTCTCGTGATTATCCCCTTTCCACTTATTACAAGGTGAAGAGCTCCATTTCCTCTGTTTGCTGTGAGACCGCGGCGCGCGCTTTCACGTGGATCATCGTATACAACGGGCACCATCAAACTCCTCTCGGCGCATTGCCCTTTGCATGCCCATGCGTGCAATATTAAGAATGTCCCGGAACTGAGTTCGATAGCATTGGTCATGGCAAGGGCCCTGACCAGAATGGGGCCTGGCCGAATGGCGGAGTGTGCGGAAAACTTACCCCGGCCGGAAGACTACCTCACCATCAACGGCTTTCGTTTCGTAAGTGTTGGGAGTATCGTTCAAAGTATAGGTGATTCAGCAAGCCATGCTATCGCTCTTTTGTGACTGGCACCCAGTGCCGCTGCGCCCAGTACTAGGTGAGGTAAACCCCCAGCACGGCTTACCCTCGCAACCAACAGGTGAAGCCCTACCACTTTGACTTCAGCTGCTCCGTGAAGCAGAGATGGGGTGGACAGGCGCTACTGGATGTCTTCTCAAAGGTAAGGCTGTGCTGAGAGTGTACATGTTTGGCTCTGGGAGCTCTCGGCTGATCAGTAGGACTGCTAGTCCCCCTTGCTTGGATCCCCCACCCACCTCCCTTCGCCAATCCCTCCATGCCCTGCCTGCGCAGGAGTTTCCGGCCAGGTCGCGCGACTACTACCGGGCTGCCATAGAGCAGGGTCGCCTGCGCCTGGAGGGCAAGCCCTCCTCCCCCGACACCATCCTGGCGCCAGGTCAGCGCATGCGTCACGCCATCCACCGCCACGAGCCGCCCTGCCTGGGGGGCGACATCCCCGTACTCGGCGTCACCCCCGGCCTGGTGGCGGTCGGCAAGCCCGCCGGCATGCCCGTGCACGTGTCCGGGCAGTACCGCAAAAACACAGTGCTCGGGGTACTGCAGGCGCACCGCACCGATCTGGGACCACTGCATCCTTGCCACCGCCTCGACAAGCCCGTGTCTGGCGTGCTCATCTTCGCCCGCAGCCCCGCCGCGGCTGACGCCCTGCGCCTGCAGATAGAGGCGGGCAGCGGGGGATGGGGGGGTGGAGGAGCGGGAGTCTGGGACATGCGTGTCGTTTTGGAGGGATGCAGACTGCCGAACCGAGTGCATCAACAGTGCATCTGATCGTGGCACCACTTAGCCCCACTCCTACCAGTTCTGCGCATGACATTTCATCCTTTCCTTCCATCGGCGTAGGCCCACGAGGTGTGCAAGGTCTACGTGGCGCGGGTGATGGGGCGCTTCCCCGACACCCCGGACCCCCTGGTCGTAGACGTGCCACTGTCCTGGGACCAGAAGCGCAACCACGTGACGGCCTGTCCCGGAGCGGCTGCCGTGGGGGATGCAGACTCCGACCTCGAACGGGGCGGCGGCGCTGCGCAGGCGCCGGTGCCGGAGGCTGGTGCGGCGAACAGCCAGCCCTCCCCCCCACGCGACGGCGCCGAGGAGGACGTGGCGGCGCGCGCGGCGCGGCGGCATGCCTTCCGCGCCCAGCGTCGCGAGCGGGCGAGGGCCAAGCAGGAGGCGCAGGCGGCGCAGGCGGCCCGCGCCGCGGCCCCCGACTTCCACATCAAGGCGGCCAAGCATGCCGTGACTGAGGTTCGCCTGCTGGGCGTCGCGCCGGACGGACAGACCAGCCTTGTGGAATGCAGGTGACTCGTGTGTGGGGAGGGGTGGGGGGGAGCGCGGGGCTTGGCGGGCTGGGAATGGAAGCCATGACCGCATCTGCCGTGACAGCAGGTGCAGAGCTGATGCGATGTCGGATGAAGGATGGTGCCTGGTTCTGCAAGTACCTCTGTAAGGGATCTGCAGGGTGCATGGGGTGGCACTACCAGTCCATAATCACGTCCACACACTGGCGTGGCTCTGCACTCCCTGGCAGCTCCAACCCTTCCTCCCTCGCCCTGACCCCGCAGGCCGCGGACGGGGCGAACCCACCAGATCCGGGTGCACCTGCAGCACGTGGGCCACCCCATCGCCAATGACGCACAGTACGGGGGCCGGTACGCGGGGCCCCTGGCCAGCCGTGTCATGGCCGCCGCGCTGGGGGTGGCCTGGGACCAGATGCGGGCGGCCGCCGGCATCCCCGCCTGGCAGCCGGACGGCGGCCCAGCGGGGCCAGGCACGGTGAGCGGAGGCGAGGCGGGTCCTGAGCCGGCGAGTCGTGGCGTCAGAGGGTCTGACGCATCGAGCGACGGCTGGGTAGCGCCGGAGGCGTCGAGTGGCGACGCGGCCGCCACCGCGTCCAAGAGGCCGCGAGTGGCGGCAGGGAACCTGGGAGCGGCCGATGCAAGGGGCGCCGACGCCTTCCCCATCAGAGAGCCGCCACATCTCCAGGCAGCCTTTGGCTCTGCACGCAATGCAGACGCGTACGCGCAGAACCAGGCCTTTCGCCAGGGAGAAGACTACAGGGCGCCGGAGGGGAGCCTGGACGACAGCTGTCCGCACTGCCCATACCTGGCTCCCATGGACTACCCCCTGGACCTGCGCCCGCTCTGGCTCCATGCCCGCTCCTACGCCTGCGCCGAGTGGGAGTTCGAGGCCCCGCTGCCTGACTGGGCGGCCGCCGACTACTGCCCAGATGCGCATCGCCAGGGTGCTGGAACATGAGGATGGGGGACTGTGCCTGGGATGCCTCACAACATGCATCGTGGTGACTCCAGGCAGCATCAAACGAAGTCACTCTGCCATTCCTCATGCTCTTGGCCCTGCCAAGCCGTCCCGACTGATACCAATGGGGGTGCACTCCATGTGACCAGAAGCACGGCAGTTCATCTGTGGGGGGTCACGAGGGCAGCCAAGGCCTTGCAGCAGAGTGTCACCCGACCATGCCAAAGTAGTCGGAGGGGTTGTTGGCCAGGGCTGTCTGGTGTGCGTCACCCACTGAACCTGGCTCCTCTCCGTTCTCCAGATCCAGCTTCCTCAGGGCTTCCTCCACAGCCTCTGGCCTGGGGAGGGGCCGGGGTCCAAGCGCCTGTGGAGGGGTCCATGGGATCAGGCGGGCTGGTGGGGGAGCCTCACCGGGTCTGCGCCTCTTCCTGTGATGCATTGTCTGTTCTGCACAGCGTCTCCGCGCACGACTCAGCTGTGACAAGGTCAGGGTATTGCAACTGCCCTCCCAAGATCCTGGAACAGTCACCCCCTCAGGGGCGGACCTTGCTGCCCTGCAGGCCCCACCTTTTGCGCGTCCTGCAGGGTGTCAAAGCGGGGCAGGGTCTTCAGACCCAGGACTTCAGGGCGCCTGCTCACCGCGCTGCCCCTCTGCAGGGCCGCCATCGCCGGCCCCTCCAGGAAGTCCTGCAGCGCTGCCGTGAGGGCCCGGGCGCCATCCGGCAGCGCCCGGTGGCCCATCCCCGGCAGCGTGACGACGCCAGCTGCCGCGGCGGCGGTGGCGGCGCGCGCCAGGGCCGCGCCCTCGCCCCCGCTCACCCATCCGCTCCTTGCGCCGACCATGACGGCGATGTGCGCGGTGACGGCCGGCATGCGCCGCAGGACCGCGCCCGGGTCGAAGTGGAACAGCCAGGCAGGGTCGGCGCGGAGGTCCAAGGGACCAGCGAGGGCGTTTGCCGCGAGTTCCTCGGGTTGGGCTCCAGGCGGCAGCCGCACGGCCGTCCATGCGGCGGCGGCCGCTGCCACTGCCGCCCTCGGCGTCGTCAGCGTCCTTTGAAGATTTGTCCGCGCCGCCTCGGCCTCGGCTGTCGATCCCCCCTCGCGCATCGCCGCCATCCACGCCACGCAGGAAGCGGCGTCGTGGGGCCCCAGCGCCGAGAGCGGGTGCCCCAGCAGGGCCGCCAGCTGGACCAGGCCCTCGAATCGAGCGCCCTGGCCCGGGTACCCGCCCCACCATGGGGCGCTCAGCAGGCTGGCTGAGATGTTGGCAGGGGTTGATGAAGCAGCAGCCTCGCCGGCCCGGCTGCGCTGCCAGGCGGGGAGTCGGGTTGCTGGGCTGCGATAGCCAGGCTCATAACTCTTGGAGCAGCCCGGTCCGTCCTCCACAGGTGCTCCCCCCCTCCGGTCGTCCTCCAGCTGCTCTGGCATCTTGCCATCCTTGGCGCTGCCAGTCTCCTCGAATATGGGAGGGGCGAACTCTACGACGGCCAGGGCCCCTACCAGGCGGGGGCGCTGCTGGGCAACGGCCATGGCGACTGCGCCGCCGACGCCCACTCCAACTAGAGCCAGGGGGCGAGTGTAGAGGTCCAGGGCGGTAATGAAGGCCAGCACATCCTCCGCCAGCACCGGGAGGGAGTAGCGGCGGTCGCTGGACCAGGTGGAGTCGCCGTGGCCTGTGGCGGGGGCGGCAGGGGCAAGAGCTTCCGAAAGGGAGGGGGGTGGATGTAAGTTTTGATTCAGCCTGCACAGAAACCGAGTGATGCCATGCTTGCATCTGTTGCCCGTGTCATTGATGCATGATTTCCACTTCATCAGACCCCTGTTATTCCCACCTCTCATGTCGACGGCCAGCACCCTCATACCACGGGCGGCCAAGGGCCCTGCCACGGGCGACCAGGCCTCAGCACCGGAACCAGCGTCGTGCAACATGAGGACGGTCTCGTCCCCGCCTCTGCCCCACTCCAGATACCTAAGGCGCATGCCCGTGGAGATGGAGAGGTGGCGGGAGCGAGGCAGGTCGGCGGCAGGACTACGGGGCCAGGCCTGGACCTCGTTGGCCAGAGAGGGGCCGGGGCTCAGGCTGTCCCGCAGCTGCTGAAAGTAGGCGCCTCGGTCTCTCTCGGCTTCCTCGGGGGTCTGAGGGTCTGCTGCAGGGCCCAGAAGGGCCTTGTATGCCGCCAGGGCGTCCCTCAACCCGGCAGCCATGTTTGACTTGCACCTTCGGAGTGGCAAGTATTCAGAGTGGGGCACTGGTCGACAAAGTCGGCAGAAGATGAGGGCACAGATATTGCATCAGTTTGGGTGTATTGCTTCTCAGAGATATGGCTGTGCTTCGGATCGCCGACCAGCCTCGAGTCCCCATCATACCTATGCCCCCCGCAACCTCATTGATCGCAGATCATTGCGACACAGCGGACGCGGTGCAATCGCATGAAATGAATCCTATTGTATTGAAAAAACGCCGTAGTCCTACTGTTAGAGCGGATCCAGCCTATTCATGGGGGACAAACCTCGAGTAAGAGGCCCCCGGTCCTCCAGGGGGCGCGAGCCACGTCAGGCCCGGCAGCCCAGATATCGATGGATCCACAGACGAGCGGAGTCGCACCTCCAGACCATCCACTCCCTTACCGAGTATATAGAGGAGCTGTGCAGAGCGTAGCTAGTCTGCGCGGCACCGCAAGGGAAGCCCCCTCTGCCTGACCAGGCCTGGGGTGGAGGGATGGCGTACAACGCAGGCACCACGGCTGGGGAGCGGGAGGTCCGCCTCCCCCGCGCGACTGCGGTGAAGAATCGACAGGCAGCGAGCAAGCAGGTGGGTGGCGTGCTCGTTGGGTGATGATCTCAGCTTTTGTACACGAAGGGCAGGAGACCATCCCCCACCGTCCCTCCCCTCCATCTCTTCCCAACAGATTACTGCGGAGCAAATCCTGCGTGAATCCAAGGCACTACAAGCAGATGATTTTAAAGCGCCTGTGGTCAAGATTTCCGACCCGGAGGAGCTCGCAGGTGAGCAGGGGTGTCCCTCCTGAGGGGGCTGCCAGGGTGGTATGGACTTGGTCCAGAGTCAGATTCTCCCTGAATGCATGCATCCACAGAGAGAGCTTGTGCACTCAGGTTTGCTCCAGCCAACCAGCCTGTCCTCACCGCTGATCCCCCCCTCCCCCCACCACCATTCCACGCAGAATACCGGCTGGCGAAGCGCAAGGAGATGGAGGACGATGTGCGGCGGGTGGGGCGCTGGAACCCCACGGTCTGGGTCAAGTACGCGCAGTGGGAGGAGCAGCAGAAGGACTTCCGGCGCGCGCGCTCCGTGTGGGAACGCGCCCTGGACACCGACCACCGCAACGTCTCGCTCTGGCTCAAGTACGTGGAGATGGAGATGCGGCACCGCTTCGTCAACCACGCGCGCAACGTGTGGGACCGGGCAGTGTCCCTGCTCCCCCGCATCGACCAGCTCTGGTACAAGTACATCCACATGGAGGAGATGCTTGGGAACGTGGCGGGGGCCCGCCAGATCTTTGAGCGCTGGATGAAGTGGGAGCCCGACCACCACGGCTGGACGGCCTACATCAAGGTACTTGGGGTGGGGCTGGGGCGTTTGGAGGTCCATGTGTGCAGTTTAGCGGGCGATTGTGGAGCTGTGCCCTTTCCCAGATGGTCTGTGGCCGGCAGCTCCGTGCATGGCCTTGCTGACCATACCATGGGCGACCGCCTCTTGCCTGGACGGTCGGCGAGGTGCCTGCATCGCAGCGTTTCACATCACCGTCGCCCCCCCCCCCACACTTTGCAGATGGAGCTGCGGTACAACGAGGCAGGACGAGCGCGGGACATCTACGAGCGGTATGTGCGCTGCCTGCCGGACGTCAAGTCCTGGGTGCGCTACGCCAAGTTTGAGATGAAGCAAGGTGAGCTGCGGGTGATGGTGTTCCTGACATAGGTCTCTCCTTGTCGTGCGCTGAGTTTGCTGGATGTCCAAGGGAAGTGTCTGTGTCTCCTGCACGTTCCATCGAGCAGGAGCCTCGGACTCGATCTTGAAGATAGCTTGCTCGTAACCAGGTTGCCTCTTTATTTTGACAGGCGACGTGGCGGCTGCACGCCGCTGCTACGAGCGTGCCGTGGAGGAACTGGGCGAAGACTCGCAGTCGGTGCGCTGCCGACTGGCTGGGCCTTGCCTGCCAGCTTATAGGCTTGAGTCGCCATGTTCCTGCTGCCATGCTGTGCTCAGCACCCTAGTTGTCCCCATATAACTCCACAAACACACCTCTCCCCTGCAGGAGGAGCTGTACATCCGCTTCGCCGAGTTCGAGGAGAAGGTAAAGGAGCCGGAGCGGGCACGCGCCATCTTCCGGTACGGACTGGACACCCTGCCGCGCTCTGGCGTGGGCGAGCTCTACAAGCGCTTCGTGGCCTTTGAGAAGCAGCAGGGCAGCAGGGAGGGGATCGAGGTGCGCTTCGAACCGAGGGATGGGCCGCAAGCTGTGTTCTGAGCTATGCTACTGAATGTGTACGTCGGGATTGCGGCCGGCATCGCACTGGCATGGTGGAGAATCTGGGGGACAGGAGTGTGTTTATGGAGGTCCCTGGGCTGTGCCGGTGAGGGTCCAGCTGTCAGACGCCCGCAGCATCAAGCTTCTTTGCATCAATCGTTCCCCCCAGGGCTACAACCTTCTGAGGAACCCACCCTTCCTTCCTCTCACAGGAGGTGATCGTTTCCGAGAGGCGGCAGCAGTACGACGCCGAGGTACGCGCCAATCCCCTGTCCTACGACACCTGGTTCGACTACATCCGGCTGGAGGAGGGCGCTGGAGACCTTGGCAGGATACGGGAGGTGTATGAGCGCGCCATCGCCAATGTGCCCCCCGCGCCGGAGAAGCGATACTGGCAGCGCTACATCTACCTCTGGATCATGTATGCCCTGTTCGAGGAGCTGGTGGCAGGTGGGCGTGGCGCGGGTTTTATTGGGGGTTCAAGATGGAGACTGAGAGGGCCCTGAAGGTGTCATGTGGGGGTCGCTCGACCCGACTGGGTGCTGGGGAATGGTTCACTGTGAGGCGTCGCACACAATCGCCAGCCTGGTATCTTGTGCCAGACTGGTGCATAGAGTGCAGCAGTCCAGGGCTGAGTTGATCTCTTGAACAACCATCAGATGTACCTTCTTAAACACACACACACACACACCGCCCTTTGATCCCTGTCCCGTCAGAGGACGTTGAGCGGACGCGAGAGGTGTATCGCGCCTGCCTGAAGCTCATCCCCCATGCGGCATTCACCTTCTCCAAGATCTGGATCATGGCCGCACAGTTCGAGGTGCGGCAGCTGCGCCTGGACGCGGCGCGCCGCATCCTGGGCATGGCCCTGGGCATGGCCCCCAAGGACAAGCTCTTCCGCTCCTACATCGACATGGAGCTGGCCCTGGGCGCCGTTGACCGGTGCCGGACCCTGTACGAGAAGTATGTGGAGTGGAACCCCGCCTCGGCGGGGGCCTGGGCGCGCTGGGCGGAGCTGGAGCGGGGCCTGGGGGAGGATGAGCGCGCGCGCGGGCTGTACGAGATGGCGGTGAGCCAGCCCGCTCTGGACGGCCCGGAGCTGCTGTGGAAGGCTTTCATCGACTACGAGATCGCGAGCGGGCGGCGAGACGCTGCGCGCGCGCTGTATGAGCGCCTGCTGGCCCGCACCCGCCACGTCAAGGTCTGGCTCAGCTACGCGCGCTTCGAGGCCACGCCGCTGGCCCTGCTGGCGCAGCGCGATGAGGAAGGGGAGGAGGAGGGCAGGGTGAGCGAGGGAGAGAGGAGGGCCGAGGCGGAGCGTGCCGAGGGCGGCGCGGCGGGCGTGGCGGCGCGCGAGGCGGCTGCGCGGCGTGTGTACGAGCGCGGCTTCCGCGCGCTGCGCGAAGGCCAGGCGGAGGCCAAGGAGGAGGCCTTGCTCCTGCTGGAGGCCTGGCGCGCCATGGAGGCGGCCAGCACCTGCCGCCCGGCAGAGGAGACCGAGGCGGCGGTGGCCGCCGTGGCCGCCAAGATGCCGCGGCGGGTGAAGCGGAAACGCGCCATCGTGCTGGAGGACGGCACACCCGCGGGCGGCACGGAGGAGTACTACGACTACATCTTCCCGGTGAGTGGATTGAGAGGGGTGCTCGAGGTTGCGGGGGGCGGCGTGCCGGCGGCCGCCGCGATCGGAGGAGGGGTGGGACAGCAAGGGCCTGTGGCCTGCCGACGACCAGATGCACACCGTCCACCATACCGCTATCCAAACCCCCCCCACCATGTGAAATGATCCACCATCCCGTCGGACCCCCTTCGTACAGGACGAGGCGGCGGCGGCGCCCAACCTCAAGATCCTGGAGGCGGCGTACAAGTGGAAGCGGGCGCGCATGGAGGCGGGCGTGGACGCCTGACAGGCAAGTCTTGCTGCACGTGCGCATTCTGCCATCTCGTCGCCCTCTTGACCTTTGACTCTCCGAAATCCATACCAGAAGCCCAGGGTCTACAAGCAGCAGGGGTATGGGAAACATGCGGGGGATGTGCACGATACACTCATGGTCTGCCCCGAGTGGTGGGCCAGGCCGGGGGCGAGGGGCCCTGGCGTCCCCTCGCAGGCACCGCAGCAAAATTGCACGACTGGGGGGGCATGCATGCCGGCAAAAAGTGAAAAGGGGGAACGCAGGATGGTGGCATCCCCACGAGGGTCGAGGGCCATTCATGACAGCGAGTGTTTCTTCCTTGGGTTTGAGGTGGTGGAGCATGCGGCAGAACACAGGGGGGGGGTGAACGACTTGGATGGGAGGGTTGGGTGGCTGGCAGGGTCAGGCCACTGGCGTCCAATTGCCAGAGGTTGGAATGGTCGTCCCAATCCTCCTCGCTGGCGCTGCCGGTCCACGCCATGGCTCATCCTGGTAGCGGTTCGTCTTTCAGCGTCCTGAGGGTCGGGCGGTGGTGGAGACCATGCGGGACAGGAGGTTTCCCCTAAACACGCCCTGCCCCTCCTTGCCGTTGATCTCGATCTTCCCGCTCTCGGTGCGGTCCACGTCGGCAACGTACTTGCGGCGCAGGTGGCCCGTGTAGATCTGGCGCGGGCGCGTGATGCGGTTCACGGGCTCGCTGACCATCTCCTTCCACTGCGCCACCCAGCCCACGGTGCGGGCCATGGCGAAGAGCACGGTGTACATCTCCACAGGGATGCCCAGGGCGCGCAGGACGATGCCGGAGTAGAAGTCGACGTTGGGGTACAGCGAGCGCTTCACAAAGTACTCGTCCTGCAGCGCGATCTTCTCCAGCTCCATGGCGATGTCCAGCAGCGGGTCCTTGATGCCCATCTTCTCCAGCACGCGGTAGGTGACCTGGCGCATCAGCTTGGCGCGCGGGTCGTAGGTCTTGTACACGCGGTGGCCGAAGCCCATGAGGCGGAAGGAGTCGGTCTTGTCCTTGGCGCGCCTGATGATCTCGGGGATGCTCTCCACGCCGCCCAGGTCCTGGATCTCCTGCAGCATCTTGAGGACCGCCTCGTTGGCGCCGCCGTGGGCGGGGCCCCACAGCGCGGCGATGCCCGAGGCCACGCAGGCAAAGGGGTTGGCCTGGGAGGAGCCCGCAGTGCGCACGGTGGAGGTGGACGCGTTCTGCTCGTGGTCCAGGTGCAGGATGAAGATGATCTCCAGGGCCTTGGCCAGCTCGGGGTCCACCTCGTAGCGCTCGCAGGGCACGGCAAACATCATGTGCAGGAAGTTCTCCGCATAGGACAGGTCGTTGCGCGGATAGATGATGGGCTGCCCGATGCTGGTCTTGTACGCCATGGCCGCCAGCGTCGGCATCTTGGCGATCAGGCGGTAGCAGGCGCGCAGCTGCTGGGCGGGGTCACGCGTGTTGGCCACCTCGGGGTAAAAGGCGGCCAGCGCGCCCACCACGCCGCACATGATGGCCATGGGGTGGGCGTCGTGGCGGAAGCCGCGGTAGAACTGGATCAACTGCTCGTGTACCAGCGTGTGCATCTTGATCTCGCGGCCAAACACGCGCTTCTCCGCGCGGGAAGGGAGCTCGCCATGGAGAAGCAGGAAGGTGGAGTCCAGCATGTCGCCCTCTGCCGCCAGCTCCTCGATGGGGTACCTGTTGTTGGTTTATGGAAGGGGGGGGGGTGGAGCTCGCGCTGCATGTCCACTTGGTGCAGGTGCCAGAGCCACCAAGGCGAGGATTGCCATGCGATGGACCTCGTTCTGTTCCCCCCCCACACTCCCTCAACCAACCCGTCGCCCACCCGCGGTAGAGCAGGACGCCCTTGTTGCCGTCGATGTAGGTGATGGAGGACTCGCAGGAGGCGGTGGACCCAAAGCCAGGGTCAAAGGTGCAGATCCCGGTTCTGGATATGGGGAGCAGGATGGAAGGTGGGAGGCATGTCCGTGTGTGTGCAGAGCAGCATCCCCGTCGGCTCCGACATAGGGCACGTGAGGATGCTAGCACTCTGGGAGCACGTCGTGCACATTGCGACACCCACCCCGATGAGGCACACGCTCACGTGGACTGCAGCTTGCGGATGTCGATGAACTGGGTACCGGCGGAGTCCAGGAGCACCGGCAGAACAATCTCGGAACCATCGGGCATCTTCAGGGTCGCCTGGCCCTCCTCCTTCGGCGCATCGGGGACAACGGTCTTTCCGTCCACCATGCCCACCATTGCTGTGGGTGGCGGTGCGGAGTCTGGGTGGAGTTGAGCAGGCGTCTGCTCTGGTCGGAACCCGAGGACAGTCTCTCGCTCTAGCGGGTGCGGTGCTCAGGATACAAAAGAAGCAATAACGATACAATGTGGGTCGATGATTTGTGATTGCAATTGACAAGTGACGGCCGAGGGGCATGGGGTTTATACCTGCGGGCGGGTGAATTACTGTGCTGCTGTGGTGTCGTCAGCCGGGAATGACTAAGGGGGGAGCCACGTGGGCGCGAGGGGCACCCGGGAAAGCACGATATACCCTTACCCCCCCCCTTCCGGGCTTGTGCCGGATGCTAGCAGCTTGTTCCCGCAAACGGGATATCGCTTGCGCAGTTGCTTGCTTCAATCGGCAAACCACGGGGTTTGGGGGGCGAGGGGAATGGAAGGGGAAGCAGGGGTCCACCAAAAGCTATGGGACGAGGTGCATTCTCAAGAAAGCACTTGGTCAGCATCAGGATGTTCACCCCTCAATTCACGTCGCGGTTGACAACGTTGACCTTGCATGCCGTGTTGACACACCGCTTCGTGTCCCACAGTTCCGTCCACGTCTCCACGCCATTGCAGACCCGCTTGTGCCGGTGGGCGTGCAGGGTGGTGTGACAGGCGCACCACAGTTTGGAAGTCCTGTGCTCGTCAACCACCACCACCCTGCACACCCGCCGCAAGAAGCGTATCCAGGGCCCCGACGGAGCCCCCCGCATGATGCCCCCCCGGTCCCGGGCCGACCAGTTGCCCACGCCCACGATAGTGGTCATTCCAGGGGGGGGCGCGGAACTGCTCCGCTAGCCGGTTGATGGCCCGCTCCCTGGCGACGTAGGCTTGATGCCGCAGCTTCCGAAACGGCTTCTCGTGCATGTGCCAGGCCAGGCCCCGTCGCAAGGTGGCGTCGATCCACGCGACCCGCGACAGGAGCACCTCTGTGCTGGCTGTCTTGTGGGTTGGGCACCTCTGGGAAAGGGGGCTTGAGGAGGGGGGGGGGCGGTTGAACATGCGGCCCTCCTCGTGCAGGAAGTCACACACGCGCGCCGTAGGAATGGTTGCCTGCGTTACGGGCTTATTGTAGTAGGTACCGTGGACTGTGGCCTTGACGGCAACTACTATGTCGGCCGTGGTGAAGGTGCCTCCGAGGGTTCGAGTAGCGGGGGCAAACCGCGCATTGTTTCCAACTAATTGAAGATTTTCAGATGTAAATAAACAGTCTGGGGGGTTCGGTGATCTGTCGTCGGGCTTTTACTAATTTAAATCCCGCGCGAACTGGGACTCCTGGAGCGTAACTCGCGAGTTTCTACTGTAACCTGAATATTTTGACACAGCAATCTGCCATGCATCGCGCGTTCGCATCCCGACGGGACATGGTAAGGCCCCACAAAGCGTTCAGAATAGACCAGGCACAACGAAGAGGCCTCCCAACCCGAGCAAGCATTTAAAGGTCTAGAAAGTGTTTTACTTTCGCATGGATCGGGTGGAAAGGCGGTAGGGGAGCGGGGTCTCGTCCCGGGGGGTGGGTGGATAGGGGGTCGGATAGAATGTAGGTCTCACCGAAGAAAGGGGTGTAAATATGGCACGATGCGCGCATGCCTGTCTCAGTTCCTGGTCTCTGGCACAGCGCATGCACGAGCAGCAGTCCCACCTATCGATTGAGGTGTCATATAAAGCACTTCTCGGACGCCCCCCCCACCCTCTTCTGGATCGACGCCTCCGCGTCTACACCCTTTCCGTGCCTCGCCCTCGCACAACAACCCACTTCGACGCAATGCCATCCGACTCTAATGCCTCGGTGAGTCCCGGAGAACGCTGGGAAGTTGTAATGTAGGACTACCGCAGAGTTGGGCTGTCGTCCATTTGGTGGCTGCTGCGGTGTTCCGGCCGCGTCGACATCTTCAGGGTGTGCGCGACCCGTCGCCTTGGGAACATAATTTCACTCGTCGAAGACCATCCACGACCTTTTCACTCCACTCGATAGAGGTGCCCGGGCCATCTGACTCCTAGGTCACCAGTCGACAGCGACCCTCGCGTTGCCATGACTGAACGCCTCAGTCAGCCGTGAGTGTGATACTCTTATCGTGCAGTTGGGTTAAGGGGTGGGTGGACTGGGTCGCGTTGACATTCAGGCATAGGCGTCTCTCGCAATCTTCACCACCGGCCACACCCCCCCCTGGGGTTGCTATGACATGTAGGTCTAGCCGCAGACTGTCCTCGCGTCCACTCCTTGAACAGGGTGCCTGGGGCCAGGCCGAGACAGCTCCCCAAGCTGGGCAACCCGCTGCAGCCTCGGGACTGGGTGCCCCACGGCCGAGGCTGCGACACGGCCGAGGCTGCGATCCGGAGCCGTGACTGCCTGATGCGCTGTGCGGGAAGGAAAGCGCGGCCCGGGGAGCGCCAACACCGCATACATCAAAATTGGCTGGCACAAGCCGCCTCTGCCCCCCCTCCGAGGTGTGGCGATGTCGCTTGTGCCAGCCAATTCTGATGTATGCGGTGTTGGCGCTCCCCGGGCCGCGCTTTCCTTCCCGCACAGCGCATCAGGCAGTCACGGCACCGGATCGCAGCCTCGGCCGTGTCGCAGCCTCGGCCGTGGGGCACCCAGTCCCGAGGCTGCAGCGGGTTGCCCAGCTTGGGGAGCTGTCTCGGCCTGGCCCCAGGCACCCTGTTCAAGGAGTGGACGCGAGGACAGTCTGCGGCTAGACCTACATGTCATAGCAACCCCAGGGGGGGGTGTGGCCGGTGGTGAAGATTGCGAGAGACGCCTATGCCTGAATGTCAACGCGACCCAGTCCACCCACCCCTTAACCCAACTGCACGATAAGAGTATCACACTCACGGCTGACTGAGGCGTTCAGTCATGGCAACGCGAGGGTCGCTGTCGACTGGTGACCTAGGAGTCAGATGGCCCGGGCACCTCTATCGAGTGGAGTGAAAAGGTCGTGGATGGTCTTCGACGAGAGAAAATCCGAGATGTTTCTCCAAGTCGACGGTGAGACCATCCCCTGAGGATGTCGATACAGTCGGATCCAACAGGGTGCCTGGGGCCAGGCCGAGACAGCTCCCCAAGCTGGGCAACCCGCTGCAGCCTCGGGACTGGGTGCCCCACGGCCGAGGCTGCGACACGGCCGAGGCTGCGATCCGGTGCCGTGACTGCCTGATGCGCTGTGCGGGAAGGAAAGCGCGGCCCGGGGAGCGCCAACACCGCATACATCAAAATTGGCTGGCACAAGCCGCCTCTGCCCCCCCTCCGAGGTGTGGCGATGTCGCTTGTGCCAGCCAATTCTGATGTATGCGGTGTTGGCGCTCCCCGGGTCGTGATTCCCTTCCCGCACAGCGCATCAGGCAGTCACGGCGCCGGATCGCAGCCTCGGCCGTGTCGCAGCCTCGGCCGTGGGCACCCAGTACCGAGGCTGCAGCCGGTTGCCCAGCTTGGGGAGCTGTCTCGGCCTGCCCCCAGGCACCCTGTTGAAGGAGTGGACGCGAGGACAGTCTGCAGCTAGACCTACATACCATAGGACAGGGGGGTTGGCTGATGGTGATAGCTGCGCGAGACACATGTGCACTGATGTCGACGCGACCCGGTCCGCCCATCCCGTCCCAACTGCACGATAAAAGTATCACACTCACGGCTGGCTGAGGCCGTCGCCCATGGCAGCCGGGGCACGAGGGTCGCTGTCGACTGGTGACACAGGAGTCAGACAGCCCGGTCAATCCTGTCGAATGGAGTGAAAAGGGGTGTGGATGGTCTTCAACGAGGGAAAGTATGTTCCCAAGGCGACGGGTCGCGCACACCCTGAAGATGTCGACGCGGCCGGATCCCATCCATGCAGCCACCAAATAGACGACAGCCCAACTCCGCGGTAGTCCTATAGTACGACTTCCCAGCGTTCTCCAGGACTCACCGAGGCATTACAGTCGAATGGCATTGCGTCGAAGGGGGCTGTTGTGCGAGGGCGAGGCACTGAAAGGGTGTAGACGTGGGGGCGTCGGTCCAGAAGAGGATTTCTGGGGGGGCGTCCGAGAAGTGCTCTATATGACACCTCGATCGATAGGTGGGACTGCTGCTCTTGCATGCGCTGTGCCAGAGACCAGGAACTGAGACAGGCATGCGCGCATCGTGCCATATTTACACCCCTTTCTTCGGGGAGACCTATATTCTATCCGACCCCCTATCTACCCCCCCCACCCCGGGGACGAGTGCAACGGGAGCTCGCCAGTCATGCACAGCACATCCTTGGACCACCCGTCCCCTATGCACCCCTGCCTGTTCCACAGTCCACTCCAACCCTATGACTTGGAACTTACTTGCCTTCCCACGGCACCATTCACCATGGGATGCGACCCCTTTGCATGCCAACCTTGGACCAAGGGACACTTGCCCCCCCTGGGTATAACTACCCACCGACTTACGTTGTAACGGCCTTATTCCTGACAGTCTGTAGGTTATGTTTCATATTGATAGAGTAAGGTCGTACCTGAACCATTGAGACCGGAGGCAGAGTGCCCCAAGAAATCGCTACCTCTCCCGCCCCCAGGGCGACCCCGTTACAATCCAGGGGGGTGAAAGAATGGTGTGAGTCACAGCGAGTTTCAGACCATCATGCTGGGTGCAATCATAGCATTCCGAATCCTCCGCTTAGTATTTTGCTGGGACGGTCTACCGATTGATCGAGTGTAAATGGGTATCACTTACATTGCTGCCAGGTTTGTGCCTTTCTACATGAGCAACAGAACTGGTGACCGTGAAGTTTCGAACGATTGCCAAGCCTGAATCGATCAACTGTGTTCATGGCTTACTCAGTATTTTCTAGAAGCTTTTTAGTATCGGAGGGTGAAGGCGGGCCAGTGGTTTTGAGCTAGGCTGGGCCTGCCAACGCACTCAGCATCCTCGCGCTTTGTTGGGGCATTCCCCAGCACGAGGAGAGGAGCGCACCCGCCCCAGGCGGGCCATGCCCGACGCATTACTTTTGCAGCTCTGTAGAAGAACAGGTGTAATGTCGAGACTATAGATTGGACATATCTCCTCGGTCTCCAAGCAGCGTCCGCACACCTGAGGATCCCAGTGATCACCTGTGCGCCGGAGTCTGCCCTCAGGCTTTGAGCCCCTGGGATCCGCGGATACCCCAGGATGAGTGGCATCGGCACAGGGGTAAGCAGTGGAGGCCGGTCCCTGTTTGATACCTGGTGAATGGGAGCCTATCGATCTGCTGAAGCCCCCTCCCTTTCCCACGCGCACAGTATGATCTGTCCGTCAGCACATTCAGCCCCGATGGCCGGGTATTTCAGACTGAGTATGCACAAAAAGCGGTGGACAGCAGCGGGTAAGGCTTCTTGCGATTGGTCTGCGTCCTATTGCGGCAGCCCTCGGTGTGGTGATCGCCCCAGCTCCTCGAAACCCCTCCCTGCAGAACGGTCGTTGGATTACGATGCAAGGACGGAGTCGTGCTGGTGAGGCCTGCGTATCGGTGGCATATGATACAGGGCGAAGGATGGTTGCCAGGAAGGTGCAAACATTGCATTGTCATGCAGAGCCTTTGACACTCCACAGGGTGCCGAGAAGCTCATCATTTCCAAGATGTTGGTAGAAAACTCCAACCGGAGAACCTTCCCAGTGGACCGCCACGCCGGGGTGGTGAGTTGAAAGGGGGCTGTGGGCTGGGCAGTCAGGTGTGCTCAAGGTCGCGCATCTCCTTGCAGGGCGGTGCCGTATGCATCGGCCAATTCATCGCCCAGCCCGGCACCATCATCCCCCCCCCCCCTAACCCCCTCCGCGCTCGCCAGGCGGTGGCAGGCCTGGCGGCGGACGGGCGCGCGGTGGTGGACCGCGCCCAGAGCGAGGCACAGCAGTACAAGGGCTTCTACGGGCACCGCATCCCGGGGCACGTGCTGGCGGAGCGCCTAGCCTCCTACGTCCACGTCTTCAACCTGTACTGGTACGTGCGGCCCATGGGCGTGACCTCGTTGCTGGGCGTGTACGACGAGGAGGGCCCCGCGCTGTACGCCGTGGACCCCGCCGGCACGGTGCACCGCTACTACGGCACGGCGGTGGGCAAGGGGCGCCAGGCCGCGCGCAACGAGATCGAGAAGCTGCGCCCGGGGGAGCTGACGGTGCGAGAGGGTGTGAGGGCTGTGGCCCAGATCCTGCACCGCGTGCACGACGAGGAGAAGCCCTTCGAGGCCGAGCTGGCCTGGGTTTGCGAGGAGTCGGGGCGGACGTTCCAGAGGGTCCCGCAGGCGAGTGGAGGGGGGGGTGGGGACTGGGTAGGGCGCTGGGCGTCTCGGGAGAGGGGGTTGGGGAGCGGGGCGACGAGTGCTCTCACCCATGCAATCCCAGACGGCTCCGATGGCCCCCGATCTGCACAGGAGTTGGTGGATGAGGCGGAGCGCCTGGCCAAGGAGGCGCTGGAGGCGGAGGACATGTGAGTGGGTGACTGTGACAGACTTGCACTTGTGTCCGTTCAAGGCCGTGGCATGTGGCAGGAACCTCGCTCGCAGTCCGTACAACAGTCATGAGGTGTGGGTATTGTCACACCTCCATGCAAGATCTGGCAGGTCCACCCCCCACCCATGCACCACACCATCACCGCAGGGACGATTGAGACCTCGCCGTCTGCCGTCATGCCTCCGTGCTTGTGATTACTGGGTGAAACCATTGTGGATACTCAAGCTCCAGAGGAGGTCAGGAAAGGGGACACGTCGTGTCGGAAACGGATCTCAGATTCGCGGAAAGCGCGGGGGATACGGAACGCTTCCGTATCTACAATGCCGAAAATTCCGTGCTGTACAAACTCATGCATGCACCCGTCGGCAGACGTCTGTAATTCCCTCCGCCCCCGAATCATCTTCTGTGCTCCAGTGGTGCCCCACGAGGAGAGCCTACTCGGTCGCGCCATGCCGGCTGCCGGGTCTCCGCAGGGGTTTAGGAATTCGACCCCCTCCCGCACCAGGCGAAGCCAGGCAACATCGTTGCACTGCGACGAAAGCGCAGTTTCACCTCCAACTATAGCTTCACAGGTGTGCATACCGAAATTGGACTGTACAGCCGGTCGTCAGCAACTGGTTAGTCAACTCCCCTCCCGACAACTCCTGTCCACGCAGAGACCGAGACGACCGTCCCTTGAGATACTCGCCATCTGCAACCGGTCACAGCCCAGTGGCGCATCCCAACAACAAGTTGCAAGTCTCCTCGGCAGGTGAGCGGTGCTGACGGGGCAGCGCTGATTCATTCGGGTATGGGTAGCTGGGTGCCTGCCGACCTCGCCAACGTATCGTGTTCCGGTGACAGCTCCTCACCTGTCCTCGCTCTTCCCTGCAGGGCGCCGCGGTCCTATGTGAACACTTGGGACTTGGAGCTGCCGCAGTGGGGCACAGCCCTCCCTGCTACATACTCCTGGGATGCTAACAATGGAGCAGGGACCAGCAGCACCACCATCACGGCAGCGCCAGCTGCTTGATGCTTTTACCATGTTACCTACAACTTTCCAAGCCAACACAGCCCTTTTTCCCAGCAACACCAATCTTTCCCTTCCCCTCCCTTGACACTTGGTGGTACACCGTGCTGTGCATGCACAAAGTCAGTATCGTGCACTCTTTCTTCCTGGCGAGTCTTGCAGCACCTTGCTGCTCCGTGGCAGAAATGTAAAGCAATCCTGAGCCTTTTGATAGCCACATAAAGGAGGGTGCGGTGAGTGGAGTGGCCAGGCATGCAAGTTTCTCGCAGCACAGGGCAGGGGGAGATGCGGAATCACTGGGTGAGACAACAGAAGCCGGATTCCAGTCACTCTGCAACAGTGTCTTAAATTGGGCCCCTCAAGGATACATCCCAATCGGATTCCTTTCGGTTTATGCCGGTGTAGGCTTCCAGCTGTTCGAGACTCCGCAGGGCCAACTGGATCTCCTTCTCCACCCTACCGGGGTCGGTGAGGTCCTATCAAAAGAAAGAGTGGCACGGACATGTTATAAGGAGGTCTATGAGCTGCTACGGCGCCTGTTGTAAGGTCTTGAGAATCCACCTAGGCCCCTGACTGCAGTCGCCTCCCCACCCCAGCCCAGCCTGCCTTGTTCTTGTGGAACTCCTGCTTGATCTCCGCCAGTACCTGCTCCCGCTTGATGGACGGGAAACGCTGAGCGGCACGGAGAATGTGGCGATAGAGCATCAGGATCTGAATAGACCGGGTCATGCCTCCTCACACCAGACGCAAGACCTCTCAGGGGATGTTTCGCCTGCCGGGCAACACTGTAGCGATTGGGCCACCCTAGGCACCGTTCTTCTGGACAGCCTTGTTACACTGCTGGAGTGCGTGAACCTCTGCGTTTGAATTGATGGAAGTGACTGTCACTGGAGGATTGTTTGGCCATAACTAAGAGTTTCAAGCTGCATGCACGGTGGCATCGGGGCCAGAGGCACCAACCCCAGAGGCACCACACAAGACGAACACACATGCTGTCCCTGTCCGCCTCAAGCCTGCGCATTGGTTCTCACCCTTCTGACACTTCCTCCAATCTCTATCAGATTGAGCAAGGCAAATCTGGTGAGGGGTTGGGGGAGGGCACTCTGCCAGCCAAGTACAGTGGAGGTGGCAACCACGCCTCCAATTGCCTCCAGCTTCGCAATGGGCTGCCAGTAAGGCATACATATCTATCACATCTATTTCCTGCACACACACCTCTAGCTTCTCGTATGCCTCCTTGCAGCCTGTGGGGGTGTAGAGTGCGTCGTCGTCGTTCGTCTCCGCCTCAGCCTTGGGCTTGCGAGGGGTGGGGGACATGCAGGGCCACGGCAGGGCTGCTTATGACAGATTTGAGAAGCAGTGCTTCGACATTAGGTGTTCGCAAATTGTTGGTGACAGCCTATGGCATGCAAGTAGTGCATGGGCATGACGCGCGCGCGCGTGCGTTCCGAAAGCAGGGGGCGATACTGTCGGATCACTTGGTCCCTCGCTGGTGCACAAACTCATCCGATGACTTTTGGCATGTGTATGTTGTTTCTCGAAGTTAAGTTGCCCTTGGATATTGCCTGACGGGCAGTGTGTGCCTGCGGATGTAGTGGACCCCTCCGGCGGAGGTCAAAGCCACAAGCTCAGCGTGCTCTCGGAGCATGGTCTGACAACCGGGCATGGAGCCCATAGAGTGCAGATGGATGTTCCAAGAAGGCTCGAGGATGCCAGGGAGGGCCTGAACATCCGATCATGGCTCTCCGTGTACCAGCGCGACCGGTCTGGAGGGGTTTATCATATGCATGCGGACTCAGGGTCCGAGGCAGGGCTGGGCAATGCTTCTAGGTGATGCATGTCGGCATGCAGACCTGGGACCTGGCATGCTGACCGGCTGGCACCTGCATGCTCACCCCAGCACCTCCCCTCATACGCCAGGCTGTCCCACCTGGCACTGGACCCCGGCACCTTGCTGCGGCCCCTTCCCCTGGGGGGCGTCAACTGGCTTGACCTGGAGCGGGTGGAGGACAGGTACCTGTTGGCAGCCAGCTCCGACGCCTCCGTCCTGCTGTACGACACGCAGGGGCAGGAGGAGGAAGCTGCCGGCCAGGTGCCTCCCGGCCAGGGCCCGGCCCTCCCGGGCCTCGCGCCGCTGTTGAGCCTGACCAAGGCCAGTCCCGGCGGGCACAGGTTCAGCGTCTCCAGCGCCGCCTGGTACCCCCTCGACAACGGTCTCTTCGTCACGGGTGCGTCACGGGTTGGGAGGGGGAGGCCTCGTGCGCTTGCCTGCTGGCCTGCGCCCGCAAGTCTCCAGTAGCTTGACGACACTGTGTTCCTGAGCTGATTGGGGGTATCCACACCACCACATGCCCAGTTCTTGTCCTTCCCCCACCACTCCTCCAGCCTGCCCCACTCTTACCCCCTCCGCCTTCCCCCCTGGCAGGCGGCTACGACTGCCAGGTCAAGGTGTGGGACGCCAACACCCCTGCCCTGGCTGACAGCTTCTCCCTGGACTCCCGCGTGCACTGCCTGGCGCTGTCCGCCGTCCCCGGCGCGCACTGCCTGACGGCAGCGGGGTGCGAGGATCCGGCCATCCAGCTCTGCGACCTGGCCTCCGGCGCGCGCCTGCACAGCCTGGCCGGGCACCGCGCGCCCGTGCTGGCACTGGCCTGGTCCCCCGCCGCCGCCTGGCAGCTGCTCAGCGGTGCCGCGGACGGATCCCTACGCGTGTGGGACGTGCGCCGCGCCGGCGCCAGCCTCGCGGTGCTGGACCTAGAGTCCACGGGCCCCGAGGGCGCGCTTCCCGCGGCCGCCGCGCGGTCGGCGGCCCCGGATCCCGCGGCGCCGGCCGCCGCGCGCGGCGCGCGCGCGCACCGCGGCGCGGTCACCAGCCTGGCACTGACGCGCGACGGGCTGCGCGTCGTGTCGGCCGGCGCGGACGACGCGGTGCGCGCCTGGGACGGCGCCAGCTTCCGCAACACGCTGGTCAACTTCGCGGCGCGTTCAACCGCGCGCGGCGGCCGCGCCAGCTGGCGCTGGCGCGCGACCCGGACGCGCTTTTCCTCCCCTCCGGCTCGGCGGTGCTGGGCTACGACCTGCGCAGCGGCGCCGCGCTGTGCACGCTGCGTGGCGGGCACCACGAGGCCGTGCACGCCTGCGTCTGGAGCGAGGCGGGCGGCGGCACCCTATACACGGGCGGGGCGGACCGCCTGGTGCTGACCTGGCGCCCGAGAGCTGGGCGCGGTGAGGACGAGGAGGATGCCTGGAGCGAGTGAGGGCATGCAGGGGGAAGGTTGGGATACTGCTGGGTCGTCGAGTGCGACCCGTCCTGGGTTTCAGGATAGAACTGCACACCACCAGGAGCCCTGCTCCTATGCATTCCCGCCTCGCTGCGCACACTCGAGCGAGCATGTCGCCGGCCTGCCCCCATCCTGCTCCCATGTCAAAACAAGTCACGGCATGCACGTTCCCAGGGAGGGACCAGGGCAGCACATACATGGGCGTTCAAGGTGAGCCTGGCGCCGAGGCGGCACCTGCCACCGCACAGGCCAGCATGCGCTCGACGCTCGTCATCTTCTCGCGCGGCTTCCCCACGGCTTCCCCCGCCGCCACCTCGGCGGCGTCGATCCGGGCCCAGCCCGCCCAGGGCACCGCGATTGACTCCGGGGCCAAGGCTCGCTCCAGGCCGGCCCTCCGCTCCGGGGTGGGCCAGTCCGCCTGTGCTCGGACCATGCCCTCCACCGTCTGCTCGGCGTCGGCCAGGTTGGTGCCGATGATGCCGCTGGGGCCCCGGCTCAGCCAGCCCACGACGAAGAGGCCGGGGACGGCGGGGGCGTCCGCCGCCACGCTTTCCAGCACCTGGCCCATCCGGTTGGGCACCACACCCCGCTCCGCATCAAAGGGCAGACCGGGGACGGGGATGGAGCGGTAGCCGATGCTCTTCAGCACCTGCGAGAGAATCAAGGGGGGGCAGATGCTGGGAGACAGGCCGTTGGGATGGGGAGGATGAGGGTACACTGGTGTTGGCCGCCCCCGGCACAAGGTGAATGCCACGCCATGGAGAGGGAGACTTGCAGTGGAAGGCTGCACCACTTCTCTCCCTGGCAAGGCAAACCCCAAACTTCCCTGAGCGAGTTTCCGTCATTACACCCTTCCAAGGCATCCAACTCTTCCTTGCATGGCCAGGCAACCCACCAGGTTGGCTGGGAGCAGGACTGACTCGCCGGTGGGCACAGATCGCGCGGCTCCCGACGGCGAGGCCTCCAGGCGCTGCTTCTCAAGTTTTATGCCCGCCGCGAGCCCACCCTCTTCCCGGGTCTCAACGGACGCAGGGGAGCTGAGGAAATGCAGGTGCAGGGTCCGGGGCCTGTGGCCAGGATGTGGCAAGGGTGGCAATGGGATCGGCGTGCTATAGGGACACGAAAGCTATACCCCTGCGCCCGCGTGCCCGAGCATGCGGGCCCGGCAATGTGCATGGCACCTGCCAGTCGGTCCCCCACCATACACACCACACAGCACCTTACCCCTTCCTCTGCGCTGCCTCTGCCTTTGTCAGCACCTCCATGACGCGCCGCTTTATCCTGGACGCCTCCATCTCCGCCCTGCACGCCGGGGTCAGCGTGTCGAGCGCCCCGCCGTGGATCTGCACGCCGATGCCTGGCATGCTGAGCAACTCCCTCAGCTCCTTGGGGGTGAAGGACGCCTACCGGGCATGGGTGGACGATCGCGAGATGAGCTCGGTAGGAATGGGTGCTGGGTGGGGGAGTACGCCGGCCCGGGGTGATCTGGCAACAGCACAGCTTCAGGGCTCATGCCCCAGAAATATCCAAGATTCCTTCGCTCCATTGCCCCCTCCCACCTGCACGGGGCCCCTGCGCCCGATGACATGGACGTCGGTGACGGCGCTCCTGCGCAGCGTACGCAGCGCGTGCTCCGCGATGTCCGTCGACGCCAGGCGCTCCGGGGGCTGCAGCAGGACGCGCGCGCAGTCCAGGGCGACGTTGCCCAGCCCGACGACTGCCACGCTTTGCACGCTGCGCAGGTCGATTGGCAGGCCAGCCTGGGAGGGGTGGCCGTTGTACCACCACACGAACTCGCGCGCCGAGTACACCCCGGGGGCGGCCTGTGAATTGAGGGATGGGGAGAAGCAGCACGTGAGGAAAACGCCGTTTTCCAGTGGCCTCAGGTGCATGATATCCTAGATCAGGCGACCATACTGCTTTCCCACAAAAAGAGCAGACCAATCTCATGACCGGTCAGCTGATGCCCTAGTACCTCACCTCCCCGGGGATGCCAAGGCTCCTGTCTGACTCAGCGCCATATGCCAGGACCACGGCATGGTATTGCCGCCTCAGCTCGTCCAGCTGGACCTCCCTGCCCAGGCGGAGGTTGCCGAAGAAGCGTAGGTGTGGGCTGGCGCCGGCCAGGTGGCTAAACTGATGGATGACGTTCTGTTTGCGCATAGTGTGTAGAGGAATTTATGCAATGAAGAAGAAGCCCATCCACAATTTTTCATGCATTTGTGTGGGCATCCATCGCTCACCCTCAAAGGAGGGCAAAGGTGCATGCACGAAACCTCTTGATGCCTGCCCCGCCCCTCTCCTCCACATGTTCCAGGAAACAAGGTTTCAATCCACCTCCGTCCCACCTTGGTGTCTGGGTGGTCAGGGGCCACTCCCGACCGAACAAGGCCAAAGGGACTTGGCAGGGCATCAATCAGGTCCACGGTGGACCCCTCTAGAAACCGCTTCAGCAGCTGTGCAGAGAATATGGAGGCAGGGTGACGCACAAGGAGCAGGTGCTGCTGGTCTTGAGTGATGTGCTTGGTGCTGGGCCGAGTGGAACAGAGGCCAGGCCTAATGGCTCACCCTGTCTGCAGTGTAGAACCCTGCAGGACCCGCTCCAACAATGCAGAATCGCTTGATGTCGCATGCTTCCGTTCCGAACCAGCGCGCTGCTAATCTCGACGCGCCATTATACTGGCGAAGCGTGCATTGTAGCATCGCCAGCCCGCCTGCGAGCGCCATCTCCCTCCCTCACACCCCTAAAGGATGACCATGTCCAGAAGCTGAGCGAGGGGCACACAGGGATCTGAGGCACGTCGCCGCATGCACTGGAAATGTTGTGGGTATTTAATCTGAATTTTCGTACGGGGTTTAGCCCTCCTCCTCATACTGGCATGCACACACTGCGCATCGATCACGCGCCCAGGATAATTCAGCTTTTCTTGGAGGCGCTCTGGCCCTTTGAACACGGGACCTCCTCGCGACAAGGGCTGCAGAGGGAGACTCGATCGGGCCCTCAGACTCCAAGCACCGCCCAAGCTGTGCTGTATCTGACGCAAGGCATCTCCTGGTGAGCCCTGCCCGACCGCCGCCCACGAGTCAGCCGGAGTGACTGGCCGATCACAGGGCACCCTCCCCCTTTGTGCCTGTACTCCTTACACTGGCCCCAGCCTCGTAGAGGATGAGTAGTAGAGCAGACAGCAAATCTGGATCGCGTAGGAACTTCAAGAAGGGTGGGTGGGGGTGTCACCTCGGCGTCGGCTCGGCCCGGGACCTCAGGGTCCGAACATGGGGCGGGGGTGCGCCAGTCTCGCACCCACCACGCCCTCGCGCACCTCCCATGATGCCACCACCTTGCACGCAGGCATCGACCTCGACGAGGCCCGGCGGAAGCGAGAGGACAACATCGTACAGTTGCGGAAGGACCGGCGGGATGAGAACCTCCAGAAGAAGCGCATGGTCAGCACCGTGGCTGTGCAGACCGGGGAGCTGGAGACCACCCGCTCTACGCCGTCTGGAGTCCAGCAGCGGGTGCGCGGGAGGGGCGAGCCCGCCTCGTGCACTGGAGTACGGGATGTGTTCATGTGTGAGGGGGAGTGTCAAGTGTGTGGGAGTGCCTGTGGCACGGCCTGAGGGGTTGCCTGGCATGTACACAGGCACTCCTCCTGAATTCAGTGCGGCAAGCGTTGGGGGATGGGGGTAGGGCGGCACTGACATGTGGTTCTGGAGAGGGACTCCTCTCCGTACTTGGGGCGACACCAGCCTGTACCGGCCGTGAGGCTCCCTGTCTTGGCATGTCCTGACAGCCCGCAGCATCCTCTCACCCTTTAGCCAATATCCCATGCCCCAACAACTCCCTCTTCCACCTACCCCCTCTTCCACCTACCCCTCATCCCTCCTCACCCCTTCCCCCCTCCCCACCCCCCCCCTCGCACCCACGCAGCTGGAGGCGCTGCCCGGCATGGTGGCGGGGGTTATGTCGGAGGACCCGGCCGCCCAGCTGGAGGCCACAACCCAGTTCCGCAAGCTGCTGAGCATCGAGCGCAACCCGCCCATCGAGGAGGTGATCTCGGCGGGGGTCATCCCGCGCTTCGTGGCCTTCCTCCAGCGCGGCGACGCGCCCCAGCTCCAGTTCGAGGCGGCCTGGGCGCTGACCAACGTGGCGTCGGGGACCAGCGACCACACGCGCGTGGTGATCGATGCAGGGGCGGTGCCCATCTTCGTCGCGCTGCTGGCCTCGCCCGTGGACGACGTGCGGGAGCAGGCGGTGTGGGCGCTGGGCAACATCGCGGGCGACTCCCCGCGCTGCCGCGACCTGGTGCTGGCCTGCGACGCGCTGGGCCCGCTGCTCGGCCAGCTGCGCGAGGAGGCAAAGCTTTCCATGCTGCGCAACGCCACCTGGACGCTGAGCAACTTCTGCCGCGGCAAGCCGCCGCCGGAGTTCGAGGCGGTGCGCGCCGCGCTGGGCGCGCTGGCCCGCCTCATTCACTCCCCGGATGAGGAGGTGCTGACCGACGCCAGCTGGGCGCTGTCCTACCTGTCCGACGGCACCAACGACAAGATCCAGCACGTCATTGATACGGGAGTCGTGCGCCGCCTGGTGGAGCTCCTCCTGTGGGTTTGAGGGGGGGTCCGTTCAGGGTTCTGAAGTGCAGAGTTAGGACTTCGGGGGATGGGTGGGAGGTGGGTGAGCGTGGCGGTCAGAGAAAGCGTGAATGCTGAGTGGGGTCTGGACTGTCGCTGCGGGGCCATGGGCTCGGGTGACTCCACTCCACCCCCCCCCACCCCCCGATCAATCGACTCGCAGACACCAGGTGCCGTCGGTGCTGGTGCCGGCCCTGCGCACAGTGGGCAACATCGTGACCGGGGACGACTCCCAGACGCAGACGGTGATCAACTCGGGCGCGCTGTCCTGCCTCCTGGTCCTCCTCACCTCTAGTCAGAAGAAGTCCATCAAGAAGGAGGCATGCTGGACCATCAGCAACATCACCGCCGGCACGCGCGAGCAGATCCAGGCGGTCATGGATGCGGGCATCATCCCTCCGCTCATCAACCTGCTGGCCAACGCTGGTGAGGATGGGAGGGGGAGGCTCGGGTGTGTTTGTGAGGGAAGGGGGGGTTGTCTGAGGGTTGGTGGGTGCTCTTCAGTTTGGCCTGTGCTGTGGTCTGCACGGTGCGAAGCACCACCCCCTGTCAGACCCAGCCACACTCAACCCACCTCACGTTCAAAACACACACATGCGCACACCTTGACCACCGCCCACTGCTGCAGAGTTCGACATCAAGAAGGAGGCGGCGTGGGCGGTGAGCAATGCCACGTCTGGCGGCTCGCACGACCAGATCCGGGCGCTTGTGGCGGCGGGGGCCATCAAGCCCCTCTGCGACCTCCTCATCTGCTCCGACGTGCGCATCGTGACCGTGGCACTCGAGGGCCTGGACAACATCCTGCGCGTCGGCGAGGGCCTGCGGGAGATGGCGGGGTCGGGCGGCGTCAACCCCTTTGCTACGCTGGTGGACGAGGCGGAGGGCGTGGACCACATAGAGCAGCTGCAAAACCACTCCAACGAGGACGTGTACGAGAAGGCGGTGAACCTGCTGGAGACCTACTTTGACGTCGAGGACGGTGATGTCGAGGGGCTGGCCCCCGCGGTGGACGCAGCCGCAGGTGTGTGGGGGGCGTTTGGAAAGGGAGAACAGCTTTTTTTGGTGGTTGGGGGGATCATTGGTCTCTTAGGGGAAGGGACGGCATGAACAGGGCCGAAATTGGAGGTCTTGCACACCGTCTGCGGGTTCTGGAGGAGGGAGGTTCCCCTGGGGGTGATGTTGGGAGGGCATTTGGCATTCACACCACCTCGGCTGAGAAGTCGGGCCCTCTGCATGAAGTTGCCTCTGGCGATGCTGTTGGGCCTGGAGCATGAATCCAGGGTCTGCAACTGATAGTTTGGCGGTGTAATTCCTTTGAACACCATCATTCACCTTGATCCCATACAACCCTCACGTGCACAGGGACGTACGCGTTCGGAGGCGGCAACAGCAGCGCTGGCGGCGGCTTCCCGGCACAGGGGGCCCCCCAGGGCGGCTTCAACTTTGCAACCATGCAGTGAAGGCTCTGTGCAGGTTCCCCTGTCTTCCCTGGTGCGTTTTTCCACATGTGCTGCTGTGATATGCAAACGCAGAATGAAGCGTGAGAAGTGGGGAGGGTTGGGGCCTGAGGTCGACTCAGTCTTTGAGGCTGTGTGTCCCTCAGCTGGCTGGATCAACGAGGCGGGGGACAGGCTCGCAACAGAGGCTGAACCTCCCATACCATCGGCCTGTGCCTTGGACTGTCCCGGATCAAGACATCACACGAGTACCCAAGCCGTGACTCTTTCAGACAGCAACAGCTTACACCATATGTATCAACAAAAGAAATCATGCCTTTCCACCAGTCTGTGCTGCCACCTCAGCTGCAAAGTCAGATGTCTGCATGAAGGCGATGGGGGAGAGCCAGCATATGTATCAGCAAGCAGTGGTAGTTTTGGTCTTTGAGGATAGCATTGCCTGCGAAACAACACCTCACACAGGGTTTTGTTCCCGAAATGTAGTGATTGTTAGTGCCTCGGAAACCACAGATGATGGCGTCCCATGTATACCATAATCCCCCAAACAACACCTGCTCCCCACCTTCTTCTCGAGACCTTCGCCGAGGTTGAACCTCGCGAATCGACGGATCTGGATGTTCTCCCCCAGCTTGGACACATGCTCCTTCACCACATCTGTGTCAGAGACAGTGGGAAGGGGTAGTGGTGAGGAGGCAGAGGAGCTGGCGTTGATAGTAATGGAGGTGCTTCTGGGGCAAGGCAGTCCTTGCACTGATGGCAAATACGCGGCAGTGTTCAATTCGCCGAAGCACTGTAAAAGATCCCCTGCTCCCAAGAATCAAGCCACTCCTCCCTCCAGCGCTCACCCTCGACTGTCTTGGTGGGGTCCCTAATGAAAGTCTGGTGAAGAAGGGTCTGCTGGGTCAGCAGCTTGTCCACGCGGCCAGCCACAATCTTGGACCTGTGGCGGGGTGGAGCAAGGAGTGTAACACCGTGCACGCATTCCTGAGAACCTTGACATGCTTAGCTGAAGCCTTGCCACTGCTTTCCCTGATGGAGACTGCATTATCGCCAGAGCCTGCCCCAGAAAGCTGATTCCCCCTCCTCAAATACAATTGGCAGAGGGCATCTGATGCTCCCCCTTACATTCCAGCACCAACCTGATGGCTTCCGGCTTGGAGGCCAGGTCTTCCTTGGCGGCCTCAATCTCCGCCTCGCGCCGCCTGACCTCCTCGGGAATGTCGGCGACGGAGACGTACTGCACCGACCCTGATGCCACCAGCTGCGACACATAAGGTCGGGGGGGCCTTGTTGAGTTGCATGAGCCTCCTGTCTTGCACCAGGCAGGTGATAAAAATGATAGAGGTGTGGCCAGATGGGCAAATCCCCCATGACAAAGGAGGGGCATTGTAATTCGTGCCGTGCCCCTGCTTGCTCCCTCCCTGGTTCCGTCATTTCCACACAAGGAAAAGCACGCATACCTGGAGGGCAATGTTCTCGACGAGCTCGGAGAATGCCTCTCCTCGTGCCACAAAGTCGGACTCGCAATTCACCTCCACCATCACGCCGGTCCTGCGCAGAGGGTTTAGGGTTTGAAGGAGACGCAGGATGACTTGCCAGGCAGGTGCTGGCCAGAGATGTAATGCAGGC